ACCTACCTTTGGAGTAGACCCTGGAAAAAAAGTATATACCTTTTAGGTATAAGTAGCTATAATAGGAACTCAGACCCAAAAAAAGTATTAAAGTACAGTACTCCAAAACCCAGGAAAAGGGTTGCCCTCTTTGTTTCTAAAGGGGCGTATGGGTCTGGGGGACCCTAAACCCCCCCAAGACAGGGAACAGGGCCGACTGTGGTCACTCTTTGGAGCAAAAATTGAACCCAAAATCTTAGGGACCAGGGCTTGCGATTTGACTCTTCGGAGCAAAAACTGGGCCCAAAATCTTAGGGGCCAGGGCTTGCGATGTTACTCTTTGGAGCAAAGATTGAACCCAAAATCTTAGGGACCAGGGCTTGCGATTTGACCCTTTGGAGCAAAAACTGGGCCCAAAATCTTACGGACCAGGGCTTGCGATTTGACTCTTTGGAGCAACTGGGCCCAAGATCTTAGGGACCAGGGCTTGCGATGTCACTCTTTTGGGCAAGAAATGAGCCCAAAATCTTAGGGAGCAGGGCTTGCGGTTTGACCCTTTGGAGCAAAAAGTGTGCCCCAAATCTTAGGGACCAGGGCTTGCGGTTTGACTCTGTGGAGCAAAAATTGAACCCGAAATCTTCGGGACCAGGGCTTGCGATTTGACTCTTCGGAGCAAGAAATGAGCCCAAAATCTTAAGGACCAGCTTGCTTTGGAGCAAAAAACTGAGTCCAAAATCTTAGGGACCAGGGCTTGCGATTTGACTCTTTGGAGCAAAAACTGGGCCCCAAATAATAGGGACCAGGGCTTGCGATGTTACTCTTTGGGGCAAGAAATGAGCCCGAAATCTTAGGGACCAGGGCTTGCGATGTTACTCTTTGGGGCAAGAAATGAGCTCAAAATCTTAGGGACCAGGGCTTGCGACGTCACTTTTTGGAGCAAAAACTGTGCCCTAGTATTGGGGGGAGGAGGGCTCGTGATTTAGTATTGGGAGGAGGCCCGGGCTCGCAAAAGGGGGGGAGGCCCGGGCTCGTGATTTAGTATTGCGGGAGGCCCGGGCTCGTGATTTAGTATTGGGGGGAGGCCCGGGCTCGTGATTTAGTATTGGGGGGAGGCCCGGCCTCGTAATTTGGAGGCCCGGGCTCGTGATTTAGCCCGGGCTCGTGATTTAGTATTGGGGGGAGGCCCGGGCTCGTGATTTAGTATTGCGGGAAGGCCCGGGCTCGTAATTTAGTATTGGGGGGAGGCCCGGGCTCGTGATTTAGTATTGGGGGGAGGCCCGGGCTCGTGGTTTAGTATTGGGGGGAGGAGGATGCCCCAGCCCCCACCCCCCATTTGGAAATAAATGAATTAATTGAATTAATTGAAATAATTGAATTAATTCAATTAATTCAAGATTTATTTCCAAAGGGGAGGTGGAATTAATTGAATTAATTGAATTAATTGAATTAATTGAATTAATTGAATTAATTCAATTATTTCAATTAATTCAAGTAATTCATTTATTTCCAAATGGGGGGGATTCCCCAGCCCCCACCCCCCCCTTTGGAAATAAATGAATTAATTGAATTAATTGAATTAATTGAATTAATTGAATTAATTGAATTAATTGAATTAATTGAATGAATTGAATGAATTGAATTTCAATTAATTCAATTAATTCATTTATTTCCAAAGGGGAGGTGGAATTAATTGAATTAGTTGAATTAATTCAATTATTTCAATTAATTCAATTAATTCACTTAATTCATTTATTTCCAAAGGGGGGGGAGGGGTGGGGGCTGGGGAATCCCCCCATTTGGAAATAATTGAATTAATTGAATTAATTGAATTAATTGAATTAATTGAATTAATTGAATTAATTGAATTAATTGAATTAATTGAATTAATTGAATTAATTGAATTAATTGAATTAATTGAATCAATTCAATTAATTCAATTAATTCAATTAATTCAATAATTCAATTAATTCCACCCCCCCCCCTTTGGAAATAAATGAATTAATTGAATTAATTGAATTAATTCAATTAATTCAATTAATTCAATTAATTCAATTAATTCAATTAATTCAATTAATTCATTTATTTCCAAAGGGGGGGGGTGGGGGCTGGGGAATCCCCCCCATTTGGAAATGAATGAACTAATTGAACGAAATTATTTAAACTATCGCGGCTCGATTTGGCCAAATTTTGCCGGGCAGCCTGCGGGCAAAATTTGGCCAAATCGGGCTGCTCTTCGTATGCCATGAGAAATGCGCGGCTCGATTTGGCCAAATTTTGCCCGGAGGCTGCCCGGCAAAATTTGGCCAAATCGAGCCGCGCATTTCTCAGCGCGTACGACGAGCAGCCCGATTTGGCCAAATTTTGCCCGCAGACTTCCCGGCAAAATTTGGCCAAACCGAGCCGCGATAGTTTAAATAATTTCGGGCCTCCAGAAAGGCGCGGCTCGATTTGGCCAGATTTTGCCGGGCAGTCTGCGGGCAAAATTTGGCCAAATCGGGCTGCTCGTCGAACGCGATGAGAAATGCGCGGCTCGATTTGGCCAAATTTTGCCGGGCAGCCTCCGGGCAAAATTTGGCCAAATCGAGCCGCGCCTTTCTGAAGGCCCGAAATTTTTAAACTATCGCGGCTCGATTTGGCCAAATTTTGCCGGGCAGCTTCCGGGCAAAATTTGGCCAAATCGGGCTGCCCTTCGTATGCGATGAGAAATGCGTGGCTCGATTTGGCCAAATTTTGCCCGGAGGCTGCCCGGCAAAATTTGGCCAAATCGAGCCGCGATAGTTTAAATAATTTCGGGCCTCCAGAAAGGCGCGGCTCGATTTGGCCAAATTTTGCCGGGCAGCCTCCGGGCAAAATTTGGCCAAATCGAGCTGGGGGGGTGGGGTCTGGGGAATCCCCCCCATTTGGAAATAAATGAATTAATTGAATTAATTGAATTAATTGAATTAATTCAATTAATTAAATTAATTCAATTAATTCCACCCCCCCTTTGGAAATAAATGAATTAATTGAATTAATTGAATTAATTGAATTAATTTAATTAATTCAATTAATTCAATTAATTCATTTATTTCCAAAGGGGGGGGAGGGGTGGGGGCTGGGGAATCCCCCCCATTTGGAAATAAATGAATTAATTGAATTAATTGAATTAATCGAAATAATTCAACTAATTCAATTAATTCAATTAATTCATTTATTTCCAAAGGGGAGGTGGAATTAATTGAATTAATTGAATTAAATGAATTAATGGAATTAATTGAATTAATTCAATTAATTCAATTAATTCAATTAATTCATTTATTTCCAAAGGGGGGGTTCAATTAATTCAATTAATTCAATTAATTCAATTAATTCAATTAATTCAATTAATTCAATTAATTCCACCTCCCCTGTGGAAATAAATGAATTAATTGAATTAATTGAATTGATTCAATTATTTCAATTAATTCAATTAATTCATTTATTTCCAAATGGGGGGTGGGGGCTGGGGAATCCTCCTCCCCCCAATACTAAACCACGAGCCCGGGCCTCCCCCCAATACTAAATCACGAGCCCGGGCCTCCCCCCAATACTAAATTACGAGCCCGGGCCTTCCCGCAATACTAAATCACGAGCCCGGGCCTCCCCCCAATACTAAATCACGAGCCCGGGCTAAATCACGAGCCCGGCCTCCAAATTACGAGGCCGGGCCTCCCCCCAATACTAAATCACGAGCCCGGGCCTCCCCGCAATACTAATTTACGAGCCCGGAATGGTGCCCCCCCCCATTTGGAATTAATTGAATTAACTGAATTAATTGAATTAATTGAATTAATTGAATTAATTGAATTAATTGAATTAATTGAATTAATTCAATTAATTCACCCCCCATTTGGAATTAATTGAATTAATTGAATTAATTCAATTAATTCCATTAATTCAATTAATTCCATCAATTCATTTAATTCAATTAATTCCAAAAGGGGGGGGGGTGAATTAATTCAATTAATTCAATTATTTCCAAATGGTGCCCCCCCGCCCCCCCCGCCCCCAGCCCCGAGCCCCCCACCCCCCCATTTGGAATTAATTGAATTAATTGAATTAATTGAATTAATTGAATTAATTGAATTAATTGAATTAATTGAATTAATTGAATTAACTGAATTAATTGAATTAATTCAACTAATTCACCCCTCATTTGGAATTAATTGAATTAATTCAATTAATTCAATTAATTCCATTAATTCAATTAATTCCATTAATTCATTTAATTCAATTAATTCCAAAAGGGAGGGTGAATTAATTGAATTTATTCAATTAATTCAATTAATTCAACCTCCCCAAGTGTAAATAAATGAATTAATTGAATTAATTGAATTAAATTCTGTCTTGGCAACCCTACAGAACCTAAAATAGGGTCTATTTGGAAGTTGTCTCTTGTAAATAAGTATACGTTTTGGGGCCTGATTTCCTCTTCAAAACACGAGTCTCAGCTTCCAAATAGACCCTATTTAAGCTGCACACGGGGGGGGGGGGGCATCAGAGGGTTTTAGGGTTTAGGGTTTTAGGGTTTAGGATTTCGGAGGGCTCAGGGTTTAGGGTTTGGTGGGGAATTTCGGGGGGGGGGGGTTTCCGAAAATAGAGGTATCCGTTCTGGGGGCTCCCACAGAATTCTATTCTATTTAGGGTATAAATATGTATAAATGGGGTGCCCCTACTTCGGGAAACGTTCATGTCGGCTTTAGGGTTGAAAGCCCGGCTCTTGGCCACAACATGGGCCTTCAAAGCTTAGGGCGGAGACCGTATAGGCACCTCCTTTCTGCCGATTCCTTGTGTCTGAAGGGCACGAACCAGTCGTGGGCCAAAGACTGACGAAAGATTCGGCTGCGGAGGGCATTTGTCAGGGTGTGGTTCAGTCGTGGGCCAAAGACCGACGAAAGCTGCAGCACCCAGAGGCTATACAGTATGAAATATCTGTGGAATCACAGATTCTGAATGCATCTAGAAAATGAAGCGATGCCCATGAAACAAAATCGGCTGAAGACTCAATACCCATACTGGTAGTTCGAGTTGGGGCCAAAGCTCGAATTTGTGCGCAAAGTGCACACAACTTCGACGACTTCGTCACTGTCGGCCGTCCGTGGCCGCCTTCGTCTGCCCATGTCTTGCTCATAGGAAAGCTTGGGGCGGTCCCGGCAGGGCATGGAGTCCTCATCACAGCGGTAGACGATCACATGGCAATCACGGAGCGTCAGGTTCGCCTGCTGCAGCTCGTGTGGCAGAATGCCCGGCACAAAGATCTTGGCTCCATTGGCCCAGGCTGGTTCGATGTCATACCCGGCATTCAACACCCGACGACGGCAAGCCTGGAGAGCGGGAGAGTGCAGCAAGAGCTCGATGACTTGAGGGGACCTGGCCATGCGGGTGAGCCTGAGCACCACGACTTCCTCAGAACTTGAGGTCGTCCCACTCTGTGGTCCCGTGACGTTTTTGCTGCGAAGCAGCTTGTCTGCGACATGGGCTCCCCTGTATGGTGCTGAATTCATCAAGGGCGCAGTTTGACTGTCAAAGAAGCCTTTCAAGTCCTGAGCAGTGATGGAAGAAGCGGACGACTCTTCCGTCTTCCAAGCAACGAAGATGGCGTCTGGTACTTGGTCACTGCCCTTCTTCTCATGGTGAGCCTTCATGTCGAAGGAGATGCCCGGGAACTCCCGAAAGGCCGACGCAGTGGCCCTGACGAGGACGGCATCGCGGATCTCCATGCTGGGGAAGTGAACAACGGCACACTTCATGTGGGAATGCTTCTTGACATATACCCAGGTACCCTGGTCCTCGTCTGCAACATGCGTCTGCCGGATCTGATTGGATCGAGGTGCTCCAGTCTCCATCTCAACTGTGCCCATCAAGCTGATCGGGGGGTCCAGATCGATCCGTCTCACCAGCCCATTCTCCTGCACCCTTTGAAGTTGCTGCAAAATCGAGCGAACGATGGACCCATCAGCTGAAGGGGAGACGCGAAACTTGATGTTGGGATGATCTCCGTCGCAAGGAAGATCGTCTGGCAAAGAGACGCTGGCAAACACGACCTGTGGGTGTATGAAGATGGCATGTGCGCTGAAGCACACACTCTCCCCTTCCAGATCAGCCAAGATAGAGTTCATGTTCTGAAATTGCTCTAAGGGTAAGCAAGCCTTTTGGGCGGCCTTCTTCTCATCCCGACCCCCGAAGAACAGCAGAGTGACGTGCGGTTCTTCCACCTTTGGTAGCAACTGTGCCGCTGGTGGCAGCTGGATATCTTCCAGGCGACCCAAATCCGGCACTGAAAGCTTCCAAAATAGATTGACTCGGGAGGGATCCTTCTGCAT